TATTACAATGCAGATATGCAGATAATTGATGAAGTGAGTGTTGATTAACTACGGCTTGATGAAGACTGTTTGGTGCTGAGTATGATTCTTATTGTGGACAAAATTTATAAAACTTCATACTTGTGCAAAATTCTTTTCACTGCCTGTTTCTTCTTTAAGCCTAAACTCTAAATATACCTCTATTTAATTAAATTAAATATTTCTAATTTTCATCACATTTGCAGTATGAAGTGTCAAACAAGTCAAGAATATTTTAAAGCTACCGAATTGTTAATGGATCGAGAAAAACCCTGGTCAAATGAAACAACAATGAAAAATGATAATAAGTAATATATTAAGATTTATAGATTTTAGATTGCATGTTATTATTAATTGCTTTTTGATATTTACAGTAGTCTTAAATATTTAATATGGTTTAACATCTTTTTTTTTTCATGCATGTGCTATACTATTTATTTTTTAGTTTGGAAAATTAAGTTTTCTAATTTTTATAACATATTAATTCCCAATTACAATTTAGCAATGGAAAGTAAAATATAACTTTGTCAAAGTAATTATATTATATTTGAAAAAAATTTGCCTAACATATGTTAGTACTTGACTATGAATTCTAGCCTATTTGCTTGTCTTGGTACCTCAATATTTGGGTAATGCAAGTTTTCTAATAGGCTTATACTAACTATTGGATCGTTATTATTCACAATTACTTTTCATCAATGAAAGGTGAATTGAAACCATATCGATATATTAAACTATAAAAGTTGTATTGAAGAAAATATATTTTAACTTATCATGTTTAATTACTTGATCATGCATTTTAGCCTTTTTGCTTGTCTTGGTACCTTAATGTTTAGGTARTGCAAGTTTTCTTACAGGCTTATATTAAATAATTCGTTATTATTCACAATTACTTTTCATCAATGAAAGGTGAATTGAAACCATATCGATATATTAAACTATTAAAGTTGTATTGAAGAAAATATATTTTAATTTATTATGTTTAATCAAAATTGATATTCACTATTACTTACTTTTTATTCACAAAAAGTAAATTAAAATCACTGGTATAGGCGATGATTTTATTTTTATGAATATTTATTATTCATTATTTTATCATCTAGGTTTTGGGTTGCTGATTATAATGTTAAGACTGAATCTGAAGAATTATATAGCACTTTTGCATATTGGAGAGAGCCCATCTGTGATACAAAATCATCTTTTAGTTTTGAAGTAAATACTAATCTTTTCTGTTTATTCTGTACTCTTGCTTAACTTGTTTTTTATTTACAGAATGATTGTGATGATAGAGAATCTGAAGTTGAAAGACTKCAGACCATGATACCAAATAAGTTATGGTATGTGCCAATGAATAACAATTGTAAGTTGCATAGCATTTATTAACTGTTAAAATTGTGTTTATTAAAAATACTATATTTTTTAGCTAATTTAAATTGCACTGAAATGAAAAAATCTGAGTTTGAAGTTAAACCAATTTTAGTGGATGGTGATGGAGATGATTCTAAACCTTCAGCTACTGAACTCGATAGCCGTGATCTAGTCGTACCTGCAGTACTGCTTGATCATTATGCTGACATGGCTGGTGCATTTGATGACAGTGATCTTGCATCTCAATGTGCTTGTATGTTGCCTGCAGTGCTTGTTACTATAGGCCCTACTCATTGGCCATTGCTCCGACATACTTACTATGTTTTGGCTTCGCACAGATCTGTATGTTGCTTAAAAGATTTTAAAGGAATTTCGAATCCTAATATTAATTTTCATTTTTAGTGGAAAGTTAGAAGAAAGGCTGCATCTTATATTCATAAATTGGCTATTTACATTGGTGAAGAAGCTACGTCCAGAGATCTCTTACCAATATTTGAGTCTCTTGTATTGGATTTGGACGAAGTACGGTCTGGTGCTATAGACAATTTCGCTGCTTTTCTGAAGGTAAAATAATGGTGWAGGTAGGCGGGAATGATAAGTTATCTACACTATTTGATATCCATCACCAAATTAATAATATTTGTTAACAATGTTTTGGATATTTATATCATTTTTAAGTTATTGATCTTAGTGCACTTTATCTACTTACAATTTTAATTTCATATTAAGTAGAATTTAAGTCATATGTCATTAACAAAAAATTTTTCAAGTAGTAAATTGCTTGTAATTAGCTGGGCACTTATAAATAAAACACTCAAAATATGTTCTGAAATATGCTTTTATTAATTTAATTTTTAATAAATATGATTCATCAAACAGCCTTAAACAAATAAAGTAGTAATACAAGAATAAAAATAAACCCAAATCTTAATTCCAAATTAAGTTTAAATAAAATAAACATGTGTTTATAATTCCAAACATTAAATTATGTATGTTTAATACATAAAATGCTTAAAGGTCATGTACTCATGTTATTTTACTCAGTCATAATTCTTATATATAATTTATATTATGATGAAAAACTTATGGTCCGTGTTTCAGCTGATACCTGAGTGATGCACTTCAACCTAATTTATATCTGATTTAATTTACAGTAGGGTCTCGATAATCCGAACACAGGCTAATCCAAAAGATGCGATAATCTGAACGGGCTTGAGTACTATCTTATTGCCATAATATTTATTTATAAATAATATTTTCTGGTAATATAATTTTTCAATTATGTGGGACAAAGAATACCAATCCATAATGGGAACCAATGTACGAAAAAAAAATATCAATATTTTTATATATTCATTGTCTTTTGAAATTACGAGTTTTTACACAATTAATACAAATAAGAATAAAATTTCATATTCTAACTTACAATAAAATTGATGCTTTTTTTAAGCCACAGGTAATCTGAACCACCCCTTTCCCCAATCTCGTTTGGATTATCGAGACCCTACTGAGCATTTTAATATTTTTACCACCATATTGCTTTATTTGTTTTTATGAAGCGCTCAAAATTATTGATTCATAACATAATATCTTTTAAATATGATGAAAAATGTATGGTCCGTGTTTCATCTGATACCACAGTGATGAATACTTTCCAAACAATTTCTGAGTTTAATTTTTTAAAAGCTGGGAAATCTTGTTATATTGATGTTCTATTTCTTATATTTAATTTTTATTATGATGAAAAACTCATGGTCCGTGTTTCAGCTGATACCT